AATAATGAGTTTAATCCCCACTTTTTCCCTGAGGGATGTGTGTTGTATTTCCTTCTGCTTTGCAAATACGTAAAATGAGGAAGAAAGCAATTACGTGATTCACCCTAATTGCAGTGTCGTAGCCTGTTGCTGCTGACCCTGTAGACTTGTCAGCAGGTTAAAATTAGATGATTCACTGATCCAGTGAGGCTGCTGTCTGTGTACTACAGGAACTGTGTCTTGGGATATCTTGCCTGGGTTTCAAGTAGGTCTGAATATCCTTGCTCATAAATTATTAGCTTCTAGATTTCATAATATTCCTTTCTTCTACCAGTTCAAACTGAAAACACTAGGACACTTGCACTGATGAGATGAAGAAACAAGCCTGTGCTCTCCTGAACCCCCTGTGGATTAATGCTTTTCATCTAGAAGAAACCACAGCTGCCACAGCTTTTTCATGGAAATGTTGAGGATGGTTACAAAATGCTGCTCATTTGTTAATGTGCGTTTTAAAGCATTGCTCATCTGGCAAGTGCCTAATGGGAGAAGATTGCACACTGACCTTTCAAGATCTCATTACTGTTTTACATGATAGATAGATAGATAGATGATAGATAGATGAACAAATGTAGTTTAGAAAGCAGCTGCAATGTGTGGAAAACCTCCTACTAGATCTCTCCCACATTTCTATGTCTCTCCCCTAGAAGTTCCCAGCATTTCTGATAACCAGGTTACAGGGCGGATAGCTTGTGATGTGGGGGGAGTCTCCATTCCCCCCTCATTCTGTAGTATAAATGTGCTTGTTACAGGGATGAGCAGAGGCATCAGACAAGAGATCTGCCCTATTATGGCAGCTGCTTTGTACATTTAGAGAAAGTCTTGCCCTGATAAGTTTATTTTTTGTGTGTTGATACCACATGCTTGTAGGAGGATAATGTGAGCCTAACAAAACCATCTTGTGGTTCTTAGATATGACTTGGGCAGGGAAATAATTTGTGTGGGAAGAGGTAAGTGAGAAAACTGTCTCATTCTATGTAATCTTTTGAAAAACAATTAAATGAGCCATTCAGTAAGATGCTGATGTGCATGTGGAGGTGGTGTTTTTGCTTATGTGTACAGAAGAGCCCAGCATAGAACAGCTTCTTGTGGAGATCACTGCTTTTTCATCTCACACCCATCAGATCTGAACCAAACATCACTCCTTAAATAGGCAATTAAAAATAAGTAAAGAATATTGTGAAATTAATGTGCAAAATAACGTGTTATGAAGGAGTATTAAACAATGAACATTTAACCTCAACCCTCCTGTGAGTTAACCTAAGAAACAAAACATGTGCAAATTATTACTTTTATCTGTCTGCTGTCTGGATGCTGTAGTCAACTGCTGGCATCCTCTGTGAGACTGTTGTTCCTATTCTGAATCTGGAAAGACACAGGAAGACCAACATCTTTCAGTTCTCAAATGATGTGAGTTACACAAGACCCGTGATCTTCCAAAGGTCAGAGCACAAGATCTTTTCTCTCAACAAAGAGGCTGCTCTGTTCTGCTCTTGTGAAGCAGCTGTTGGCTCAGATTTCAGTTTATTCAGACACAATATGAGCTCTAGACAAAGTCTCAGGCTACATAAATTAATCTCAACTACTTATCACTTCCCCTCCATCATTTTTCTTCTTCATGAAAAGAAACCCTTTGTGACCAATCACAAGTGTCTGATACAACCTCTAGATAAGATCAGGTGTCAGTTAGTGCTATTACAAGCCTTTTCCAGAACCCCTTGGTCCTTGAAGGATGATTTTTTTCTTAGCTCAGGAAACAAAATTGGTCAGCCACATTTTGCTGACAGAGCTTGCAAAGCATTGGGAGCTGAAGGTTTTAACCTGAGAAGTGTCAAGTGGTTTCTGCTACCCACGTCCAGCTACTACCTTCTGAATCCCTGCATTACAGCCATGGGAAGGTCAGAGGTAACTAACGCATTTTACTTGTGCAGCCATACACAGTTTCCACTGCATTTGGTTTTGTTTTAGCAGAAATTACCTGAGCCAAATCTTTTAACCTGCTTTTGCAAGCAAATCTGTGTTTGCCACTGCACCATTGCTAGTGCCGCCAAGGCACTCTAGCAGCCTCTTGCTGCAGATCTGAAGGGTTTTTCCTCTCAAGCTACTGCTTGTGCAGTGTAAAAAATATACCTGCAAAGCAAAGTGAAAGAATCAAAGCACTACCAATATGATTTATGCTCCTTGTCCTTGATATATCTCCTATTATGGTTTCCTCTTTCCAGCCTATCACCTTCCTTCCTTCAGGAGGAACATTTGATAGTGCCTTACTTTAGGTGCTCTTCTAGTACCTGAAGGGCTACAGGAGATGCTCCAGAGCACAGCAATACCTGTTCCAGTGTCATACCGATTGTTCTGGAGTGCTCAGTAAACAACCCCAGTCACACACAGACCCAGCACTAGACCAACCAACTGGGCTACAGAGTTCGCTCCTTACTGGGCAAAGGGCCCAAACCCAGTTCAACTCTGCTGTGTAGCCAGTCCTGAAATGGGGCCGATCTGCTGAACATGTCAGCTCAGACTGAGTTTCCTTCCTTTCCTTCTTGATAAAATTACCTTTTAAGCTCCAAATCCTCAATAAAAGTAGTGATTCGTTCTACGCCTGAACCTCCCCAGCAGCCTCAAAACCAACAGCTGCAATACCTTCCCATAGACATGTCCCACGTGTTCCCCCCCTTAACCCAATGCAGCACTGGCATTACCACGCAACTACAGGCATGCACTGAACCCTAGCAAGGGCTGAGACACAGGCTTGACTGAGAAATCCCTCTTTGCAGCTCAGTGTCCTCAGCTTGTTAAGATGACACCCAGCTTGCAGCTGGTCACTGCAAAGCACAATTTGCTGAACCAGTATTAAAGAGGTTGAGTCCCTTCATCATTCTCTTCCAAAATGGGTACTTTTAACTGATTTAACGTTTACCTGATTTAATGCTCCAATTTGTCATGGAGTGAGTGTGTAACGAGGGGGCTGATAAATCTCTTCATGAAGGTTTGCTTCTGAAGTCCTATTGACCTGCATGTTTGCAAGTCCAGAGCAGGGAACCAAGCTGTGTGCCAAGGTGGCTACAGAGCAGCTTGTGGGGAAAGTAAGAGAACAGAGGCTAGAAAAGCAGTTGAAAAGGTGGATTAGTATTTAGAAGCACATTTTAGCTTTGAAAAAGTGTGGATTTGGGGGAAGTCAGAGGGTTCCCCCCCTTTTTTTGAGCAGCACTTCCAAGCAGGCCCTTTTCCCTCCAGCACAAGCAGTAAGACTGAAACCAGGTCCTGTGTGAAACACAGCTTTCTGAGCCCGTTGGTGTTTACTGCTGTATGCTGAATCCAGAGCTCCTCCTGGAGGTTCGAGGAGTCCAAGCCATGCTGCTGACAGCTCATCACTGCTGCTTGTCTCTAACAGCAGAGCACGAACCACCCTATGTACATACAGTGTGTATACAACAGGCAGGCATAGGATAATTACAGTAATCTTACATACACAGTCCTAGCTGACTTCAGTTAGTTCAACAGCTTCACCAAACTACCTTTGGCAAGCTGAACCTAAGCACAAAAGTAAAGATAATAAATCTGGATATATTTACACACTAAATATATCTGAAGAGTTACATTCCTTTTTTTTTTTTCTTTCTTTTTGGAGGAAAGGATGCTTAACTCAGGGGGTGGAGTTAAGTAAGGGGGGATGTCCATATAAATCCTACTAGAACCTACAAAACACTCCTCTCCCAGTCAGATGGTACATCTTTGGAAGCTGATGTCATAGCAATGAAAAGTATTAAGCCTCATTACCTCCATGGGAAAAGTCAGCTAGCTCAGACCAATTATCCTCCCACCTCTTCTATTAAATTTAGCTCACTCGCAAACCATAGAACCTCAATTTAGACACACATTGCTATTCAATGTGTGCCTAGCTGGGGGACAGAGGGAAGTTAGCTAAGCATAAAAGTAGAACATGAAAACACGAGGACGTGTAGTGTGCAGGAGAGGAGAGCAGGGGAGCTCAGGGGCCATGGTGCCATCCGAGTTGTACAGGGGTGTTCAGAAATTTCTAGGCACATACTAACATTTTACAACTCCATCTGCAGCTATTGATCCCAAGAGTTCAGTGACGGCCAGGTAATTACCTGTTGAAAACAAAAGAATAAACCACTTAAACTGTGATCAGTCACATGAACAAGGCAGGTTTATCCCTACAGTGCACATCTGACTGTATAGTGCTACAATGGTGGGTCTTGTAATGGTCTCTGCAACACGGTCAGATGTGAGAAAATACGACAGCTATATTAGACTTCTAGTATTTGCCATTTCTTAAGATGTTCAGGCTATTCGCTGCTGTTCAGTCATTTTTTAGACTAAAGCTTGCTCCTTATGTTTCTAAAATAATAATTTCGGTTCTACATCAGGAAAAACTGAGATTTTTCTCATCAGAAACACTCACCATCCCTGCCCACGCTGTCTACATGCACACAGCTGTACACACAGCTGCACGTGGACATACTGTAACAGTTCCTTGAGGTTTTGTAATGAAGGCTTTAGGCTCCATAAAGAGGTAAAGATGAGGTGCCCAAGCAGTCAAACCCTCTCCACATCAGATAATGAATGTTGGTCTTAAGTCACTGCTCCAACACTGTATACATGTGCAAATATACATGTATGCATGCACAAAAACTGTGAAATGCTATGCACGCACACTTTTAGTTTAAGATTCTAATGAGCAGCATTAAAAAGTGCATTATTTTATTTGCTTCAATTCAGCCTTGCCTGTAGTAATTTTTCTTTTTCATGTTTAAAAGACCTGTCTATTCTTCTTTTCCACTACGGGCTGGAAAGTGAAATACATGCATTTATGAAACAATGAAGAGATCATGGGTTGGGGGGTGGGGAAGCGAAGCAGGTATTTTGGACGTGTTAAAATAAAAGAAGCACTTGCTAAACAACTGTTAAGTGTGAAGGAATGCGGCCCAAAAAACAGCATATGCTGTTTGGGTTTTTTAGTGTTTGGTTGTTTTTTCAAACCGCACCACCTTCAAAGAATTCCTGGATTCTAGCCTGATGCTGAAAGATTAATACATTAAAACAATATTTCCTAATATCCAATATCCTCTAAAGAGGATGACAGTGTAAGGAGAGAACTTACAGTCTTGCCTGACAGGAAAATAAATTTAATACAATCATACAAGACAAATATGACACCAAAATACTTATTTACAGCATATATATATTAACTCTCTTTTTATTGATACATTTCCCTCCCTTTTAAAGATATCCAGATTAAAAACATCCAAGCCTGTTCAGAGAAGAAAACTTTCTCAAAACAAGTAAGAAACAAGAAAGGAAGCAGCTACAGTGCACCATCTGCTGCCAGTCCTCTTGTAAAATATGTTCCAGTCAATAGACAGTACATTTACAGAAACACGTTGACACTGTTCACTCTCATCTGCTTACATACTAAACAAATACCATCTTGGCACGAAGAGAGATATGTTCGAAGAAGGAAGAGCCATTTGTCATACTGTCATCTGAATTTATGAAGGACAGAGCCGCCACCTCAGCTGAGTTAAGCCTCTAGAACCCCTCTGCTTTTGAAGAAAACCCGTCACCTACAGCCTCCCAGACAAATCTGTCAACAGGCACTCCTGTTCTGGAGATCCATACTGTATTTTGGTGTGCACACATGCCTACAGTATCCCTGAGTATAGCATCACAAACCACTCACATCCCAGCCTATAAACTGGTATGTGACTCTCTCCTCCACAGCCACCAACTACCACACACAGGCTTTTATGGAAGCTCATCTGAATGACCAGTTTATTTTCTTCACCACATATCTTGTTCCTAAAGTGTCTGGTCTGAAATCAATAAGCTGAAGACACTTGAAGTTTCCCAGGATCAGCACTTGGCCAAAACACTGCTGAAAGTCAGCAGTCAGATGCTAGCTTGCAAAGGAGAAGACTTTGCCCAGATTTCCTCACCCTTGCAGAGTGTTCACATACAAAGTTCTTACATAAAACAGCAGGTCCACATTTTCCAAAGCAGACTGAAAATCACTTTAGTTTCAAGCTGGAAGCTTAGAATCCTATTTTGGCTAGCTTGTAGAGCACTTTAAATATACCAAGTGCTATGCAAAGTGGCAAGTATTTGAAAACTACTAATTCAACCAAGAACAGATGCTAGAAGCCAACTTTTCCAAGCTAAGCACAGGACTATGTTGGTATGGCCTCACATTTAGAATACTAGATGTGTCCACAGGCACATGGCCAGCCTCACACAGTGGTGCAATCAGTGTACATTAATACTTTCTGTACCCAGTTCAGAGATCTGCATAAACTACATACCTTGAAAACAGGGTTCCAGCCAACAGGATTAGCAACTGGATTCTACGTAACTCCAAATACTTGTTTTATTTTATTAAATATGCCTGCTCTCAGCTAGCATCTCATCCTGAATATCAGCAAGTATTAAAACTGAGGAACATTTTGTTAGTCTTTGATTTCCTACCGAGAGTTCAAAATGTATTTTTAAATTTAAGGCAGGTTGGGGTTTTGTTGGTTTTTTTTCGTTTTGTTTGTTAAAAAAAAAAATTTAAAATTGCATAGTTCCACGTTTTCTTCACTCAGCAGAAAGGAACAATTTTTCTGGTACCTCCAAACCTTGGGACAGAATTAACATACTTGTGTTTTTTCCGACTAAGAAATGCATCCAAAGGAAAGTGGCAAAGCTTGATTGTTCTTTCAAATGGATGCAAACCAAAATCAATTCCACTACAGAGAATAAAAGAGTCCTGATAAACTGAATCTCTCCACAGGGTTTGTAAATGTGGTGTTTCATCCACAAACTCAAGTTGAAAGGTTTTGAGCATGCCAGCATGCCATGTCCAGAAACACACATTAGCTTATGCTTAACCTAAAATCTAAGAAGCTGAAGCCTATTGCAGCCTATCGATGCTGAACACCCAGCACATCATAGCCTAAAGCCCTCAGCAGGAGTCAGTCTTCCACTGAAACAGAACTACAGAAACCAAGTCTCTCACTATACCCCAAGTGGTTCAATCATCAGCAAATTTAAATTAATATGAAAACAAGAGTGCCTGATGTCACTCTGCTTCCCACATTCCTCAGAACTCCACAGTGTTTTACTATTTCTGTGTGACTGACAGCAGACTACTAGCATAGAGCCTAAGTTTCATTTAACAGAATTTGTTAGTACAAAGCAGCCTATTCAATTCTTGTATTAGAACAGTGATTTCTCTATATATGTAGTAGTTTAGCACTCAGAGTGGCTTTTTTTTCCCTCAAGTTGTCAGTTGAACAGTAACACATCAACTTTACAACTAACCCAGAATCAGCTTTTAACCAGGGTTAAAAAGGCATTTTGAATTCAACATGCTTGTATTATTTCCATTCAGAAACTGAGGAAAAGAACTGAAAGCTCAGAAGATTATTTTGAAACTGTGTAATTAAAAATGTGTTACTAATTGCTTGAAGGATGGGTATTATCATAGAAAGTGAAGACTCAGCCTAGAAAGACACAGTAGAGTAAAACAAAGGAAGGTCAAACCTCTTCCGGATCTTTGACAGGGTTAGCAGAAATCAGTTTTGTTTGGAAGAGATCTATAAGAATGTAGACATTTAATTTTCCCCAATCACTGTAAAACTGTTCTTTAACCAAGAGCAAAATAGTTCAAAATACAATTCAACCTGACCTACAGAAGTGCAGGGGATATTGTGGCCAAAGTTAAACCAAAAATACCTATCCCACTTCAAAAAGCTGCAGAAGAGTCTCCTCTTAATATCTAGCTCATCATAAATTGCTCAAGGCACACTGTTTAAATCTCCATGTCTAAATGAATGGCTATTAGCTCTTGGGCTCAAAGGAACTTGCAAGTCAGAACATGTATAAGGCTTCTTTGCTAATATTCAAATAGTCTGAACCAAATAACCCTCTAGGATAGGGCCTTAATGACTTTAACTTTTGCATTTCAACAACAAATCCAGCTGTGTGTGAAGGTACATAGGTTTTACAAACCAGCCAGACATAGTACAACATCACCTAATAAAAACTGATGCTGATAACAACACAAATCTCTGGCCAAGGCTGAAAAAAAGTTTGATGCTTAGAGTTACAGCAACTATTGCATTCTTTAATTGTTTATTTTTAAACTAGTTTTGTAATAATACAGTAACATTATTCTTAGCAAGATTGGCCATAAAAAACCAGTCTTCACAAAATGAACCACAGTATATCAGTAGTTATAAAACATCTTTACAGCTCTGTACATCTGCACTGTAATGTTCAGTGCTATAAAAAGACCATGGTCTTATGAAGCCCAGGCAGCAAGCTTCTTCATTTCATCTTCATCCTCTGTTCTCTTCCTGGTTGATGCTGCAAAGAGAGAGGAACAATAACCATCAACTAAATGTGACAGTCAGAACCATTTTAGTTGTTAGCATGAGGACTGCCATAGTGCTTCTCAGTCTAAATATCTCAGATTAATTTATTGAGTAGCAAGCTAAACCTAGGTAATATAGTAATGAAGCTGATGAGGGATGCAACTACTTTGCTCCCACTGTTATCTCAAATATAACCCTGAGATTAACCATATGGGTCTGATGTAACTCAGAGCAATCCCAGGCACAGCCACAGGCTGGGCAGAGAAAAGATTCAGAGCAGCCCTGCGGAGAAGGACTTGGTGGTGTTGGTCGATAAGAAAATGAACATGAGCCAGCAGCATGCGCTCACAGCCCAGAAAGCCAACCGTATCCCTGGGCTGCATCAAAAGGAGCATGACCAGCAGGTCGAAGGAGGTGATCCTGCCCCTCTACTCTTGTGAGACCTCACTTGGAGTATTGTGTGCAGTTCTGGTGTCATCAACATAAAAAGGACATGGAATTATTGGAACAAGTCCAGAGGAGGGCCACGAGGATGATCAGGGGACTGAAGCACCTCCTGTATGAGAAAGTTGGGGCTGCTCAGCCTGGAGAAGAGAAGGCTGCGTGGAGACCTCATAGCAGCCTTCCAGTATCTGAAGGGGCCTATAAGGATGTTGGGGAGGGACTCTTTATTAGGGACTGTAGTGATAGGACAAGGGGTAATGGGTTAAAGCTTAAACAGAGGAAGTTTAGATTGGATATAAGGAGGAAGTTCTTTACTGTAAGGGTGGTGAGGCAACGGAATGGGTTGCTCCATCCCTCGTGGTGCTCAAGGCCAGGTTGGACAGAGCCTTGGTTGGCATGGTTTAGTGTGAGGTGTCCCTGTCCATGACAGGGGGTTTGGAACTAGATGATCTTAAGGTCCTTTCCAACCCTAACTATTCTATGATTCCTACTGAAAGGCTCCCACAGAAAATATATTTAATCTCTAAGAGCTGTCACATAAAGCAAGTGTCCCCAGGCATGCTGCCAGCTCTCTCATTGCCACTTCAGCAGGCACAACTGACCGATCCCTGGCTGGCTGCACATCCTGCTATCTTTCAAAATAGCACTGAAGAGCTCTCCATGTGCAGGTCCAGCCTCACTGCATTTTAATGGGAGCTGCCGTTTGTTAAAAGGAAGACATTCCTGAACTGTCTTTGTTCAGGTGACATCAGTTAACCAGTCCCTAATCTGCAAGTGCCACTGGGTCACTGTGCGACTAGGGAAGATGACTATGACTTGCTCCATCTCAGTTTCTTCAGTTCTGAAGTCAGGAAGGTAACATGTATCTCCAATGAGAAATACTAACGGTTTTTATTTTTCTATTGCTGTGTAACAGTAAGCACGGAGTTTCAGAAAAGACAAGCTGGTTTTGCAAGGCCTTAAACTATAGAATTGTAACCAGCTAATTTGGCCTGAAGCAGCCATACAGATAGATGAAGCAGCAAATTAAAAGAAGCACACAGAGATGGCCTAGGTTTAATAAAAACGTCAACTGGCACAGCTAGATCTGGAAAAGGATGTATGAACAAGTCATAAATGCCCAGACTGCAACTTGCACTGGGTTCTCCTAAATCTGTTTTTTTTTTTTTCTTTTTACTAGCTGTTTTACAACTGACTTCAGTAGATGAGGCCACAATCCCAATCTGAACATTTAAAACTGCTTCTCAGGATTTAAGTGCTGTCTGCTAAAACAGATGCAAGAGTCTCTTAGCTGAACTGGTCTATGTAACCTGTTCTGCAGCAGAAAGCACTATAAACAACCTGTGTAACATGTGTGCTGTCCTTACCATCAAACAGTTATACTGTTTTACTAGCATCAGTACACAGCAAGTCTTTCAGCTGGCAGAGGACAACAGGGACACAGTGAAAGCTGTAGTAAAAGTCAACTGTCTCTGGTTTAATCCAAAACGAACAGGGCAGAACTACAGAAAAAGAAGGCTACTGCTTAATACCAGGAATAGGTCTGCTCTGTAGAAAGCAAGCAAAGGAATGACAATATTTCTTTAAATGTGTACTTCCTGCTGCTTCCTTAATTTCTCATTAAAATACCAGTGGTAAATAACAAACCACTACCCTACAAAGCTGGGTCTTTGCGATGCAAAGATTTTCAATATAGGTCAGACTCCAATTTAAAAAGACTAAGGATTTAACTGTAAAAAAAAAAATTAAAAATAAAAAATGTATTCCCTTTCCTTGGTAATCTCACTGTTCCAGGGGATACATCAGTACATGCCCAAAGCCAGGTTCCCCGAGTTTGTCTCCCCAAATCTACAGAGAATTTAGTGATAAATGCTTTCATACAGGAAACCAGAATTCCATTCTGCTTTTCCTGATAAATGGATACAAAAATAGGAACAGGAATCCGTAATACTTTAAAAGTTAAACCAGAGTTAAGTGTATCTTTGAAATTCTCTCTTCTTCTCCTCACACCATGGCTTAATCATGAGAAATGTAGAATGGCTAGCAGGCAGTTTACCAGGGCGAGAAGGCAGCGATGTGGATGGAACACTTGGCAACCTGACATCTCTCATTCCCTTGTTCAATTCTTCTTGCTCCAGTTCTTCTAATTCTGCCATCAACTCATCCTAAATTCAAGGAAAACATTAGTTACAGTTTTACTGCCTTGACAGTGACCTCAGGCAAGGGCACATTTAATCACCATGAAACAAAACACTACTGAAACAAATAAAAAAGAACAAAACCAAAACAGTTTACACCTGAAAATAAATATGAAAAAACAGCATATCACAAGTATGATTTTTACTAAATTTGGGTGGTAAGAGTAAACCTCAATTGAAAGTTGTCCTGTTTCTAACTTCCATTATCCTTCTTACAAGGAATAAAATTAGAAAAAAACCCTGATAGCAGTGTAATACTTATCAAAAAGGCAAACACGGGAAAAAGAGAAGTCGCACTGGCATCCTCAGTTTTGTTCAAAACTGGATCCTGCAATCTTTAACAGATTCTGATTTTAATGTGCAATTTCTTCCATTTTAAAAATGGTTTCCACTGCTTACACAGTAGGCTGACATTGCACATTATGCTTCAACCCTGTCACACAAATCCAGGATTATATATGATTTCAAAGGAGCACTAGAATCAGAGCTGTCCTTCTGGGTCCTGTTATTCACTCGTGAAGCATATAATACACTTGGACTTCTAGCTGCAGAAGCTGATTTGGACAGATGATCTGATCCACTTGCAAAATACTAAATATAAAAAAGGCTATACACTTTTTTTAAAAAAGCCTATTTGTTGTCTGGACTTCCCAAAGAAAGGAAGCTAAATATTACACATTTGTAGAGCAATGGACTTTTGCCACATTAATAAATAGTTTAAAAAGAAACACTTGGCAAAAGTGGCTGGGGAAAAAGTGGCTGTAGCAACGTGAGATCTAATAGGTACTGAAATGGGCTTTGCCTACCCATTTATACCTAACTTACCACCAATGTGGAAATTCAAATGTTAACCACATAGTCACTACAGGCCTTCTGGGACTTACTTTCTCATGTTTTTATATCTTAAGGCCAAAGAAAGGCTAGTTTGCCTACCTGACTTAGTTCACAATGCAAATGCTGGGATACCATCTATAAATTTCAGCATCAGGTCAATAGCTGATGATGTTCAATTGACAGCTGATCCCTCAAGGAAATGTGCAAGTTTGGGACCCCATATCTAACTTAGGCATTTAGCTGAAGAGCAAATGTGTCTGTACTTTAAGTGCCCCAGGCAGTGCTGTGAATGCAAGCTTCTTTAAAAGTTAGATGTCCAAGCTGCTGTAAGGTCAATGGAAACAGGTAATACTGAAGACCTCTACATGATCATCTAACACCCTCCAATACCAAATTAGTCCAATAGCTATAACAAATCTCCTCTGTCCTCTTATCCTAGGCCAAAAAGAGAGCTGGGGAAGATACGTGAACTCTCAGGTTCTAAGCTTTGTCCACGGGAATGTATTTCAAATCAGAAGCAGGCCTTCAAGAAAAGATTGGCCTCCAGTAAGCATCCTACTCAGGAAGGACAGAGCTTTTTTGCATTCTTCATAACATACACTGTGTCAATCCATAGAGAAAGAACCCTTAAGTTTCTGTGTCAGTCTGGAGCAGTAGAAATTACATGCTTCCATGATCTCCTTACACCCATGGCACACATACGAAGAGGAAATCCAAGTGTGTGGTCAAAACATCCTTCAAAAAAATAAAATTGTCATCCTCCAACACAAATCACCTCACAATTCAGCAATTAAGTCACTGATTCCAGTGCTCTCAAGCTGAAGTGTCCTGGAGACCAAACTTTCCAGTTACTGGACAAGTGCTCCAAGTATCAGGCCCCAATACAAAAGCAGGTGCTGATAAAATGATGCCCTACGTGACAGTGGCTTAGTCTCCCAGAACAGGAAATGTGCCCATCAACTTAGACTAGTATCTCTTAGGAACTGCCAGGTCAATCTACAACATGCTTACTAAGTCTAGACTCCTACAATTTAAGCAATGATGAAAAGTAAAAGACACTGTACAGCTGTTTGGGATGACAGTGTTTTTCAGTTGTTTGAAACTCAGTTTATACAGGTCAAATCACATTCCTTATGCCAGTAACAATTAAACTGTTTCTTGAAAAGTCTATTTACATTCAAAGTGGAAAAATAGGAAAACAGGTAATGGGAATAAAATACAAAGAATCATTACTGTTCTCAACAAATTATAACTGCTGAACAAAACCTCCCTTTCCCCCAAGTCAACCTAATGGATCTACTTCTGCAGAAAATCTGGAACACAGGGAAAGCACCTGCATTTCCAAGCACCAAAAATGACCTTTAAAAAATGGTCCAAATATTCAGAATTGTGAACAGTTCATGGCATACAAATATGCACTTAGTTAAATGGATGTCTATTTGGAGCGCAAAAAATTGTATGTTTCAGTGTCCACTTGTAGCAGTACAAATCACACGTTTTAGTGACCTCCTCCCATGGTACAAATGAGAATAACAACTACAGGAGTGCAGTTAAAGTTGCCTTTCTTAAAATTTATATACAAAGAAAAATATGTAAACTCTAAAAATATTTCTATTGCATAGTTATGTTATATATATTAATATATATAAATACATATATACACACACACATATCTATCTATAAAAAAGATGTATGTGAGAAATAGGCAAACATCCTTGATGGGGTAAGCTAGAACCAAGGAATTTCATACCAACACCTTTTGAGAAACAAACCACCAGAACAAGCCACTAGACAACAACAAAATAGCTGTGGAATCATTTAACAGCTAAAACTCGCAGGCCTGAAGTACTAACCTCATCAAACTCATCACCGAAGGCAGCTCGGTTTGAGATAGCATCTGAAATTTCCTGGGCAACATCTTGCTGTTCAGTGATATCTTGCATTAAATCATCGATTTTGTTCAAGTCCCTGGCAAGATAACATAGGAACATTTTTAAAAGATAGTTCATCATTCAAATCCTACAAAAGAGACTTTGAAAACCTTGAGCAGACTATTTTCTTTTTATGCCATGGCTGCATATAAACCGCAGAATTCACAGGAAATAACTTCGCTCACCTACACCTTAATGTTTCCTGGCAAGCTCCTGTGTGTTTCAGCCAGTCAAATTTCTTCCACTTTGGGACTGTAAAAAAAAGGTCAAACTGCAGCAGTTTGTGTCTCTCTCCCTCTCTGTGCTTCTCAGCCAAGAGTCACATCCTCTGGGCAGATCCCACCTCTTTCCTGAAGTCAGCATCTTTACAGATGGATCTTTTTTGATGTTAAACTGGCGGGAACTTAACAGGACTATACTCCATTTTAAATGTTCCCCTTATTGTTAACTTCATTATTGTTTCAGTTCCTGTTTACTTCTCCCAGAACAATTTTTCTCATTTAACTGTTTATTCAGGCAGGAAAACAGCTCATGAAACATGGGACATATAAAAATACTACACAGACAAAAAAAATGTCCCTCTCCTTTATCCAGGTCTAATTAGTACTTTGAATCACACAGCCCAGCTTACAGACTTTGAGAAAAATGTCCACTTGGTTTCTTCAACTAACTACTTTTCTTCTGAAAAAAAAAAAAACAAAAAAAAAACAAACCAAACAAACCAGAGGCAGAGGCCAGTCTCCACTGCCAAGTCAGACTTAAGAAAAAACAGGTACTACATGAATCTCTCTAGTTAAGCAAGCTTCCTTCGAGACTAGCTGTTAAGAAGAGACATTTTTTTTGCCAAATATAACACCACTGCATCAACAGCATTCCTGACATTAAATGCCTGAGCCAAAAATTAAGTCAGAACAGTTTGATTTCATAAAATATTCTTCAGTGATGAAACAGCTTGAAAGTAGTGAGTAGAGCTCAACTTGAAAGCTATTAGCACTTACATATTTTCATGTACTTTTTTCATGGCTTGTGCAGCATAGCCCATATTCTTGAGCACTTCTGTGTTGGTGTGGGAATTCTCCAACGCCTCTCTCTGGAACTCAATGGTTGAAAGTGTCCCATCAATTTGACTCAACTGTTTCTCATATCTCTTTTTTCTCTTCAGTGCTTGTAAGGCAGCTGGAATGGGAAGAGGCAAAGTGCACTGTGTATTTTTATAGCAAAATGCAAGGACAAGAAGTTCAGCACCAAGCCAACCTGCAGAATTTATAATTCTCACCCTCCTACCTTACTAGTAGGGAGACAAACTTTGACCACACCAGATCAGCAGCCTCTTTATCACCAACATGCTGTTGCATGAACATGCTGGGAAGTCTCTTTTAAATTAACTCCTTTGAACACCACAGGGAAGAGCATCTTCTTCCTCCACTGCGGGAGATCGTGAACTCCATCCTGGGCACACAGGCAAAGCAGGGAAGACAGGGAGGAAAAAGAAAAATGTCAGAGCGAAGTCAGAAAGGAGGAAAAAGAGGAAAAAGAAAAGAAGAGGCTGCAAAACGTAAGTAAAAACTAAGGAAGACAGTGTAAGAAGATCTGTCATGATAACCACACCTCCATCAGCACTGTTTTCTAAACTTCCTCTCAGCAGCAGAAACTGCCAGATGCAATGGAAAGCCCAAAAAGCCTAACAAAGCAGGTCGTTAGATCAGATGAAGCCTCATTTCTGTGGCTTTCAGCTGCATCTATTTCTTTATAATCACTTACGAGCATGATCTTTAAACCTTAGAACTTGAAAACAGATAAAACTTTGTAAACACAGCCACAGTCAAGTCCAGCTACTCCCTATTAACTTTGTAAATCACTGAGATTAGTCTTTTATATTTGCTAAATTATGAGCAGCATACTTTGCCCCGAGTAAATCATTACCAGAATGAATGCATGTGACACGGAGAAGGAGAAAAGAACTTTCTCTTGGCCTCTGGGTGTGAAACACACACGATCTTGCCACAAGCATTTCCTGATCACTGACTGTCCTTTCCAACCTACACATGTGCCAGGCAAGACAACAAACAAAACCAAGAGACTGAGTTAACCCATAGCTTTTTCAATGCTATTAATAGCCATGCCGTTTCCCTTTTCCCTTAAATTCAATTTTAAAATCAGGTTCAGAGCCAGCAAGCAACAGCAGCACTGCAGCCCCCCAGACTCAAACAACAGCAGCAATTACTATCGCTTTCCTACTCGAGTAACTGCCCACATGCAATAGTACTGAACCTTGACACTGGGGTACACAACTTTGCAAATGAAGTTAGGATCCCTCCAAGAAGGGGCATAGATTTATGGTGTGCAACAACACACTGAAAAAAAAAAAAAATCTAATGCTTTGTTGACATATGCTTGAATCAACATGGTCAAGACTGCTCATTGTTAGCTGTGCAAAGACAAGCATTTGCACAGGCTAAGAGCAACCTGGCTTAATGGAAGGTGTCCCTGCCCATGGTAGGGAGGCTGAAACAAGATGATCTCCCAGCCCAAACCGTTCTATGATTCTAGCACCAGCAGTAAAATGTTTCAGGACAGCAAACCACAATCACAACAGATTAATGACAGTATTCAAATTCAGGATTTTCCCAGGTTTTGGGGGATGGTGCAAAGATCATGCATACGCTGAAAGCATGAATGCCAGGTGATGTCATGTAAACTGCAAATGTGAAAACCTGTAAAATTCTCATTAGCAATTCCAAAATACACCAGTTTGGTTTAATACCAAATATTCTTTTTACGTACTTATTTCCCTACTTATTTATGCTTATTATTGTTAGTATTAGGACACCAACCGCTTCCTTCCTTAGCTTCAGTTGAATCAAAATTTGATCTTAGGATTCTTATGTTAGGAAGACAGATTTCAGGTAAATTTAATAGTCTAAAACTGTGCATAACACTGGCTGTGCCAGGGAGGGCTTCAAAGCCCTGTGGACTGAGGAACACTAACTGGCTGGTGCAGAAAGACTTCCATTGGTGCAAGTAGCTACTACAGGGGAATATTTCCAGTTGTTTTTCAGAAATGGGACTCTGTAATGGTGCTGTTATTACTGGCTGCTCAGAGAGAAAATGGATTTCCTCAGTTACATACAAAGAAGTTGTTTTCAAAATCCTGAAGGTTCCTGTATTAACACTTAATTAAACCACACCCAAACTAAGAAACCATGGAAGAAGCTGAACTCCAAGTGACTTCACCTCTTCGTAAACAGCTTTTCCTAATTACTGTAGTGCAACATATTTAATTCTCTTTAGTTTTACCAGTGACTTATAGAACAAAGCACTTCACAGGAAATCAATTCATATTCCTTCCTTACCAAGACATAATAAATTCCCACACCACACTACGTGATTTTTCTCATTTATATTAAATGACTGCCCTTCATTATGCAGTTTTGTTATAGTAGCTTCTATAGCTAAGAGAATTTCCTTCTTATTTGAAATGTATTTTTCTGGTTTACAGATTATCATGAACTTTAAGTGCATTTCTACTGCACATACAAGCAGGTCTAAGAATGGTTCTGAAAAAGGGTGTAGCCCATTCCAAAGATTTCAACGGGAGACAGCCCAGGAAGAGTCTAAACAAGGGTAGAGTGAGGAAGCAAGTGTATCTAATACCAGAAAGAGGTGGAGGTCTTCTTCTGGGGGGTAAAAAAAGCATCTCATACACTGTCTCTGTTGCGCTCCAAAGAAGCTGATGCAACTCCTGCATTTCAAAATGAAATGATCAGCACTTGGCTGGGCTTTAGCACATTTCCAGCAAGCAGGAATAGAACAGAAGCTCACTGAATAGGAAACACTGCTTTTAATCTGCAGTTTCTAACATAAGGGGTGGAACATCAGTAGACTAATATGTCAGTTTAAGTATGCATATTAAAGAACTACTATTATTAACATACAGAAGGACTCTTCCATTATCAGTATTATGCTTCATTAGGAAGCAGAAATGGCCAGCCGGGCAACAGTAATCCTGGATACATTTACTATCCAGATTTCTTAAGCAAAGAACAAAAGTAGTGACACAAAGATCTGTGGCACCCTCCTCATGGTTTCATGACAAATCAGAATGAAAAGACAGTTCACTGATATCAATACCTTTACCTGTCAAGCCCACCACCAACACCCATTAGTATACGAATTACAGATGATTTCATCTTTTGAAGTACAAACAAAAGCATGGTCTTTTAACCCTCAAAATTCCCAGGGGGGAGCTGGTGAAGAAGAATGTTCCTTAAGGAAATATAACACCCCTGTGAAAATACTCACTCATTCTCAGACACAGTTCACAGACCTCAACTTCATTCCTGCAAGGATTACAACTTCTGATCTCCCTTACACCACAGACAACCAAAAAAGTGCTGATGAGGTTATAAAAAATTATACCACCCTAAGTAAACTCATTATCAGCATTCGTAATCCTTAAAACCTTGAGGAGGAAGCCACATACAGTTACAACTGAGGGGCTAATTCAAGAACAATAATGAATTTGACTTGTTATAACCACTCCAGTTCATGGCAAGACACTTGAAATGTGATCATGAAGATCAGAGAACAATAGCTGTAATTCACAGAACAAAGACACATGAAGGGCTTCCCCATATCTCTCTGCCAGAAATCCTCAGCCCCAACCTGTCATACACCCTGCCACAGGCATGATGGCCCTGTCTGTGCTGAGGTGCAACTACTATACTGTTGTTTGCTTTCAACAGCCTTCTGGTTACAACTAACTCACTGAAAAGGAATGCTACATGGCCACATAAGCCCTGTTCATATGTACCACACAACATATTTAGCTACATCTACTTGTAAAAGCCTACCTGTTACTCCAACTTTCTATACTGGTTTTGTCCCCAGTGGTACTATGTGGCTTTTCATGGTTAAGATTTAGTCCTATTCTGGATGGCTGCTTTTAACTTTATTCTTCTCAGTTAGCTTTTTTTTTAGGTTCTGTGAAAGACTCCTGGCTGAACCAACACCCAGTCACGTGTGTTATTTTCACAGGCATAGGCACACTTCAGGAAATGCATTTCCTTTTAAACAGAGTTCTCAAATACTCAGCATTACTTTATGTCCTTTGAATTTTCCTGTATGATCTTCAAAATAATGAAGATGAAAGGCCAAATTGCACATGGAGTTGGCAGCTGTGAGCTGGTTGAAACTGAGATACCCAAAAAAGTACAGCAAGAGATACCCCAAAAAATCATGACTTTGGATCTGGAATGAGGAACTGATTAAAAGGCAGTGGTAACTGTGAAAACAGATATTGCTTGTCATGACATAAGCTCTGCAGAGGGAATTCCAACACACATACCTGTTTTGAAAACCCTTGAGTGATCTGGCTACAGAAAGATATGAATGGGGAATACTGGAAATGTATCACAACAGGAACTGCAGAGGTACTCACTTCATAAAGGAGAAGCCAAAAATATTTACATGATGTTTCACATCTATTAACATAGCTAATGTGTTACAGCTTTTAAATCAAGTTAAGCCTACTGATGTCACATGAACCCATTCAAGAATCATCTGAACTAATGAAAAATTGCTGGTGCCTGAATCTGCTCTCTCCTGTGACAATATTACTGACTCAGACTCACACACCTAAAATCAAATGGGATCATGCTAATTTGGTGCATTTCCTATACACAGATGCATCTGGCTCCAGTCTTGGACAGTCCCATTTTGGTTTCCATAGGCTTCTCCATAGATGAAATTAAGAAAAATCAACATTAAAAATTACCTGCAAGGTCCCTTTGAAAGATTCATTTTAACAAGGCAACATAGATTAAAACTTTTATTATCTCATTTGTATGTTTACATAATGCTACAATATATGCTGGTTAGCACAGATTTCCTGTGAACTATATAGTACAGTATAGCAGCTAATACACTGTCACATGTAAATAAACAGCAATCAAACTGTAAAGCAACTGACATATAAAATGAAGAGGTATCATTAGGGATTTAAGTTCATTCACTAGCCTGCTAAATTCAAGCACTTCAGCACATCAAGGTTAATGTCTCCACTGACTGTACTTACACTATCCTATTTTGGCTTTACAACCATTTCTGGCATGAAAAAAATCCCACTCTGCACTTTTTGCTCTACTCCTGTCTCTTTACTGTTCTTAGCTATCTAGTCCTGAGCAAACAAGATAAAAGGGAGTTATTTTTAACCATGATCAGCGGAACAATCCAGTTTGCAGCATAACTCCACAAATAATCACACAAGTAAAGCACATGGGGAACTGCATACTGAGCACAGCAGCAAACACAGAGATCTGGGAGAAAAGCTTCATATGTCAAATGCTGCACGCCTAAAGCACAAGGCCAACAAACACCTGAACCAGCATCAACCAGCCAAGTTAAAGGAGAAGCAGATCCACCTTCTCCCAAAAACAAGTACTCATTCCTGCCTGTGCACCACCCTTTCATTCAGAGGTACCCAAGCACTTGTGCAGCTGCTGAGACAAACAGGTAAATGGAACTTAACCTACCCTGGGAAAAAAATAATCCAGCCACAAAACCCCACATTATACATCTGCATCCAGCTTTCTGAAATACACCCTTCAGGGAGCTCTGACAAGGAAAGGCATGGAGCATTTCTTCTTCCTACAACTATGACAGCTTAAAGTCCAGGCTTGGAATGACATTCCACAGCAGTGTGTCTGGATCTAAACAGGAACTGTTACAGTCACAGGAGCTGCCCTGTTCTCTTGCATCCACCCTGATGCCCAGACATGTGCACAATGAACCCAATCCTGGGAGCTATATGGTCACTTTGTCCCACAGCAAATTAGTTCTCAGCCGGATCACCTTCCTGAACTAGCTCACTGCATTCACACACAAGTGCCAGTACCTGAACAAAGGGACAAGAGAGACACTCCAGTTGCAGCCAAGGAAGTACAAAGTATGGGAATGGGACAGGCCTGACAGCTCCCGTGCTGCAGAGCTGCAGGCTGTCATGCTGCTGAACTGGCTTTACTCCCTCTGACTGACCATGCCTTCAGACCTGTCCCATCTTAACACATGCCTTTAGATCCTTTCTAACTAAAAGTTAATCTGCCTTTTGCTAATAATTATTAACAAGTAAAAATATTACAAGTAAATTTATCAACCAGATAAATTATTACAAGTATTTGGTTACCCCATTAAAGGGCTAACCAAAACACCTTTAACACACAATTCTTCACAAGCTCTAAGTTACATCACAGTCATTTGTTAAATTATCAAGCAACAGAGAGAACAGATGAAAGAGCTACTCTTGTTATGCCACAAACTGTTAATGCAAAATGTTTTCCTTCTGTTTTGAAGTATGTAAAGAAAAATAAAGCTCAGAGTAGACAAACAGGTCTCCAGGTAACTTTAGAAAGTAATTTACTTGTTTCTCAAAGGCCTGTATAATCCCTAAGACATTGGGTACCATTATTCCCTTTCCAGAGATAACAACATCAGTGTAAGCAGGATCCAGACCTTACTATCCCTTAGTATCCTCTCCTCTGCAGGTAACAGCAGCCCAGTAGTAACAAATACTCTGAATTATCATTCAGTTTTTAGTGGTATCATGTACTTCCTATGTGATTTGAGACGAATCACTGAATCACTTTGTTCCTCAGTTGCCACCAAGTATACTTTCCAACTCTCACAGTGGATATAACCTGTTTTCATCCATGAATATACTGAAGATCCTCATGTGCTTCAGCTCGTTTACTATCTGCACAACCAATGCTCAAAACCCAAGCTGTGATCCCCTTTCCACCTTGAACAGAAGTACTTCACGCAGCATGCATCCAGCTGATGCCTGCATTGACTGTGATGCTAAGCACAAATGAACGTATGACACAGGGAACCACAGACAGTAAACTAGTGAGGAATAAAGCACCCCCTTATCATCCCACCACAGTAAATCCACAACGCCTTGAACACCAAGAGATGCCCAAGACTAAAAGCCATCATCGTGTCCCAGCGTACATGCATCATGGCGATGCTTGCTTCAAGCCCACAGGTGAACCACCAAACACGCTGCGTACCTGGAGAGCGCAAGCAGCAACGGCCCATGCGAGACCTCCTCTTAACAGAGACCACAACCTAGAAGAGTCTGAACCTTGGTATTTAAAGCCTCCCAAGTCACCCGGCGGCAGGCGGAGAGCAGCGGGCCCGGCCGACCCCAGCTACTGGGACTCACCTCGCTTGTTCTTGGTGCCGTGCTGCCGGGCCAGCGCCAGCTCCCGCTCGATCCTCGTCTCCAGGTACACCTGCTTCTTGCTGAGCATCTCCTCTGTCTCCCGCAGCCGGGCCAGCGCCTCCTGCGGCGAGGGCCCCCGGCGGCCCTTCGAGGCGGACGAGCCGCCCGCCTTGAAGAACTTGGAAATCTTGCTCATGGCGGCAGCCCCTGCCCGGCACCCACCGACGAAAGCTCCGGCCAGGCCGGCCAACAGCAGCTCCTCCGCCCGCCCGTGACGGCACTTCCTGGACCTGCGGGCGGCGGCACAGCACCGGGCGGCGGCACAGCACCTGGCGGCGGGGCGGGCCCGACCCGGCCCCACCCTCAAGCTGCCCACCCAGGGGCGGCTCCGCCGAACTGTTGCTGCTGACGCTGTCTGCAGCGGGCCGGAGGCGTGCCTCCTGTCCGCGCCGGGCCGAGGGGCGTGAGGGGCGAGCGAGCTCTGTGGGGCTACCCGCAGCGGACTCTTGTGGGGAGAGGGCAGCGCCCCAGGTGGGGCGGGGTGCCCACGCTCAGTTTGTGCTCCCCCCATCATCTCTCACTGCTGTGCAGCAGGAAAAAGCACTCTGAGGGGATTGCCGGGACAACGCGCCCCGAGCCCGGACGGGCTGGTGACACGGGCGGCGTGACTCCAGGGACACTTAGCAGCACCATCCAGTGACAGGAGTGCAGAAAGCCGCGTTCCCGTCGCCTTTCCCTATGGGCCCTGCTGGGGGGCTGGCGCTACCAGCCGCACAGATAAAACACACCAAGTACTCTTCCCCGACAACAGCAGTCTGACGCACGAAAGTCACCGGCGTCGCGGCTCTGGCCGCACGGGAAGCCTGAGGCTCCGGTTGAGCCGACACAAGCTCTCCAGCCTCCGCTCCCCGGAGCCCGACGACGCAACAACTCCCACAGCACTCCCAGCAGCTCCGCGGCGAAACGCCACGCCCTACCGCCTGGGCTCCAACGCAATCCCCTCACGGTCCCCGCAGATCCCGCCCGCAGCTTCGCTAGCCACTCCCCGGGGCGGTGAACACATTGCGCACAGCAGCTTCGGCACGCCCCCCCACCCGCCACAGCACGTTTTGGGGCCTGGAAGCCCCTGCGCTCTCGGGCTCGGCAGCGTCCTCGCTCTGTCCTCCCCAAGTCCGCGACTTTGGGCTGCGTGGAACATGGCGGAGCTGGAGCTAGGGCAGCACTGCGGGGTGGCGGATTGCAGACAACTTGGTAAGGGACGGCACGGTGGGGACCGCGGGCAGCCGCTGATGGGAGCGCTAGGCCGGGGCCGGGGCAGTGAGGCTACAGTGGCCGTGAGGGGGTTGCGAGGTGTTTCCCCCTCGGAGCGTCCTCCGGCCTGCTGCAGCCCTGCACGACCCACTGCCAGGGCCTGTCGCTTCAGCTGTGTCACTGGGCGGTTTGTCCCTGCTTTGCCAGCCGTCATTATGCTGGTTTTCCGTTCTTCACTCTTGCTTGCCTTCGCTGATCTCGGGAAATGATGTTAGGGGAATGTAACCGTTCAGAAAGAGGCCGCAAAAAACTTGGAATGAAAGCTTTGTGGTGCGACCACTCGGTCTTATAGAGGAAGTGACCAAGATCTTTGGACTTGAGCTTTGCAGTCCAGTCTTATGGTGGTCCATTAAGACCAAATCTGAAGAATGGAGAACTGGAGTAATGACCTGGAGGTGGGTGTTTGCTGCCAGTGGTGATGAGATTTTATCGGTAGGAACTGGTGGGGGATGTGTGCAGAGACTTAAGAAGTATGTGCAGTTTAAATTGCACAAAAACTGTGTATGATATGAAGGACAGAGAGGAAGGAGCAGGATCATCAGGACTGTTAAATGGAGGAGACTTTAGGCTTTTTGGAAGGGGTATCGTCTCCTCCAGTTGGCAACCCATCTAATAAAAATGTAAATTGTCCACTTCTCCAGCAGTCAGTAAACAGTATTCTGAATGGTCTCACAATAAATTATTTTTAGCAAAACTGTTAAGTTTGATGGCTAGCCACATGTTTCAGATTTTTATATTGACACACACACCACCCCTCCCCCCAATTTTTAAAGCATAGTGCCAGCTTCTGGAATATATAATTTACCTACTCATATGTTTTTCAGTAATATTAACTAGGGGAGTTAACAGTGTAACTGTGTTACAAAAGCCACTTCTGGGTACTGTGTAGATGCAGTTACTAAGTGTCCTTGTAAAGATACCTACTTCATGATACAGGTAAGCAAAAGTTAATAATGTAAAAATTAAGCTAGAAAGTATTACCAAATCAATGACCATGTTGTCTAAGTGAAAACAAAACTCTTTGTTACAGATTTTCTCCCCTTTGTATGTGATGGCTGTTCAGGCATCTTTTGGTAAGTTCATAGAATCGTAGAGTATCTCAAATTAGAAGGGCCCCAAAGGATCGCCGAGTCCAACTCCCTGGTCCTCGCAAAACTAAATCATATGACTAAGAGCATTATCCAGACATTCCTTGTACTCTGACAGGCTCAGTGCTGTGACTGCTTCCCTGGGGAGTGTGTTCTGAGAGGGAGGTTCCCTTTCAGTGAAGAACCCTTTCATAATGCCCAGTCTGAAATTCCCCTGACACAGTTTCATTCCATTTCCTCGTGTCCTATTGCTGGTCACCCAGGAGAAGAGATCAGCACTTCCCCTTCCACTGCCCACCTTGGGGAAGTAACAGACCGCAGTGGGGTCACCCCTCAGCCTTCTCTAAGCTGAACAACCCAGGTAACATCAGCCACTCCTCATATGTCTTGCCCTCAAGGCCTTTCACCATCTTAGTCACCAACCTTGGGACACACTGTAATGCTTTCATGTCCATATATTGAGGCACCCAAAACTGCACACAGTACTTGAGGAGAGGCTACAGCAGTGCAGTGGAGAGGGGGACAGTTGCCTCCATCAACTCTTTAGCTATGCTCTGCTTAATGTACTCCAGGGCACAGTTGGCCCTTTTGGCTGCCATGGCACACTGTTGACTCATAATTTGCCATCAACCCTGACCCCAGATCTGCACTCCATCCTCTTGTCCCCCAGATTGTATGTATAACCAGGATTACCTCATACCAGGTGGAGAATCTGGCACTTGCTCTTGTTAAATTTCATATGGTTGGTGACTGCTCAGCTTTCTAGTCTATCCAGATCTCGCTGTAATGCCTCTCTACCCATGAGGCAGTCAACAACTCCTCCTAGTTTAGTATCGTCAACAAACTGACTTAATGTACATTTGATTCTTGTGACCAGATCATTTATGGAAATATTAAAGAGCACTGGCCCTAAAATTGAACCCTGGAGAACCCAGTGGTGACTGGCTGCCAGCCTGATGTAAACCCATTTACTATTAACTCTTTAAGCCTGACCTGATCACCTGTTGCTCAGCCATCATACTATGAACTTGTCTAGCTGCGTGCTGGACATTTTGACCAGAAGGATACTGTGAGAGACAGTTTGCTAAAATCTAAACCCACCCACCACATCTGCTGGCTTCCCTAGGTCAATTAGGCAGGTGACCTTGTCATAAAAGGAAATTAAGTTAGTTTTCCTGTAAGATTTCAGTGTGACAGTTGTGCAGACCTAATTGTTATATAAAAGGTTCTGTGACTCGATTCAGATACATTTAATTAAAAGTAGTTGCTTCTTTGAAGTTGCCACTTTCTTCCCAAGCTGCTGTTATGGAGCTTTGAAATCAGTGGGATTATCCTTAGGATACAGGTAGATTATTTTGGAAGGCATCTAATTTAGGCCCTGTTTTGTACTGATTTGTTTTTGGTGGAGGGAGCAGGGTGTTCTTGTAGGGGAAAAAAAAAAAGTTTCTTCCAAGGTTCAAATCAGGGCTTGCACTTTGATTTACACTTCAAATTAGCAGAGGCCAGCTGAGATCAAATCAGATTGACTACAAGAAGATTTCCTTTTTAATGTCAGATGCCTTCAAGGTGTCCTGGGTTCCGCAGTAGCAGTCATGTTTTTCCTTTGTGTTAACTGGTGCAGTGCTGTGTTTTGACTTCCAGCTTGAGAACAGTGTTGGTGAAGCCGATGTTTTCGGTTGTTGCTAAGTGATGTTTACCCTGACCAAGGACTCTGTGAGGCTCATGCTCTGCCAGGGAGGAAGGGAAGCTGTGAGGAAGCAGAGACGGGGCGCCTGACCCGGGCTAGCCGGGGAGGTATTCCATACCACAGCACGTCATGCCCGGGGTGAGGGGTAACTGGGAGTTACCCGGAAGGACAGGGGCTTCCGGGTGGAACTCGTTTTCTTGGCCGGTGGTATCGTATTCTCTTCCCTTGTTATTTTCCCTTATCATTGTTTTAGCTGATAGTAGCGGTGGTGATTTGTTGCTGGACTGTTCTTGTCTCAACCCGTAGGAGTTGCACTCTCTCGATCCTCCTCCCCGTTCCTCCGGGAGCGGGGAAGGGGAGAGCCCCGGTGCGGGGAGGCGGGGGGGGAGACGGACACGGACCTCGATTGTTGTCAGCTCGGCACCACTCACTGGGAGTGAGTGAACAAGCTACCTGACTGGGTTTAAACCACGACACAAGGGATTTCTGTTGCTGTGGGAGGTGATTCAAAATCCATTAAAACAGACAAACTCCAGTTGCTTTGAGCTGAATTCTTAAGCATGCTAGTGTCCTACTCTCTTGAAATGGCGGTGTTCAAGGCCAGGTTGGACAGAGCCTTGGGTGGCATGGTTTAGTGTGAGGTGTCCCTGCCCATGGAAGGGGGGTTGGAACTAGATGATCTTAAGGTCCTTTCCAACCCTAACTGTTCTATGATTCTGTGATTCTGTTCTATATCTTGGGCCATAAGTTCGAAGATCTAAATGTTTTACTTAGGAAGAATATGATCAATCCATTCACGATGTTAAGTGCATAGGTTAAAACAAATTTTGGAGAAGATTCATTATTTAACTGAAGTGTTGCCATGACAAAACTTGTCAGATCATTCTTTAAACACTTAAATGTTTTCACATGGAGTTTTCTTTTACTGAAATGTAGATAACACTGTGATATTTTCTTCTTTTGCCACAAAGCCTTCAGCACAGAAGCCGGGATGCTCATGGGTGTTCTGAGGTAATCTAATAATATATGACTACCTTAAAATTCTGTGTAACTAAACCGTCTATTTCCAGATAAGATATATACATACAGTGTATAATTATGAAATATTTGATGTCTCATTGAGAATGTGACAAGCTTAAAAACTATTAATCTACTCTTTTTCTGTCTGTCAGAAGTAAACTGAGTTTGATTAGGATGATGGTTCTTTTTCTAACTGTGAGCTAAACTTAACCAGGGCAAAAGTAGGAGACAATTGCTGGACTAGTTTTGCCCACAGAATGGAGCTAGCACAGTTCTTTTGGAAAGCTGGGATGGTGACTTTTATCTGTAATATCTGTTTATTTACACAAAATATTTTGCACTAATACCTAGGTGAATATAAGAAACAATTGTATGAAACCAGATCAGCACAGATCTTACCCATGCTCATACAAGGACTGTAATGGAAAGGAGCTTTTGCCAGTTTTATGTCCTTACTGTGAAAAACATTTTTGTCTAAGGTGAGCAGAACAGAGTGTTTAAAAACCAATACTCATTCATTAGTGTATGAAAAAAGTACTAAAAGTTTTCCACTGTTGTTTACAGACATCGGCATCAGTCAGACCATGAATGTGAGAAACTGGACACACCAAAACCTCAAATGGCTGCCACACAGCGGCTAGTTAAAAGTATTGTAGGCAAGTACAGTGGTTTATATATTCTGCAGTTTTCTTCAGAAGGTTATTTGAGCTTGTGGCCTCCTCTGAGGGTTCAGATTTAATCAAATAAGAAGATTTCCTTGTTTAAATAGCTCTAAACTCACATGTCACTATCTAATTTTGTTCATCTAAACTGAGACAACAGCAACATATGTCTATAAAGAGAATTTTTAAAGATTAAATAGGGCTCAGGTTTCTTTCAGAATTACTCCCATACAAAGACAGGCTAAGAAAATTGGGGATGTTCAGCCTGGAGAAGAGAAGGCTGTGTGGAGACCTCATAGTAGCCTTCCAGTATCTGAAGGTGGCCTACAAGGATGCTGGGTAGGGACTCTTCATCAGGGGCTGTAGCAATAGGACAAGGTGCAGTGGATTCAAACTTAATCAGGGGGAATTTAGTTTAGCTAGAAGGAAGAAATTCTTTATTGTGAGAGTGGTGAGGCACTGAAACAGGTTGCCCTCTTCCAGTTGTGAACACTCCATCCTTGGCAGTGTTCAAGGTCAGGCTGGACAGGGCTTTGAGCAGCCTGGTCTAGTGGAAGGTGTCCCTGCTTATGGCAGGGGGGGGCTGGAATTAGATGATCTTAAGGTCCTTTCCAACCCTAACCATTCTACGATTGTCTTGTTATCATTCAGGATACCTGATATCATGACGCTGGGAGGACATGAAAAGGATGGGAACCTTGGAGATGTAATGAGGCCAAATAGGCTAATTCCAAGATATATTACAGAGACGGCATGAGTCATCATATTAACAGTAATAATATTGTTCTTAGATTCTAAAAAAAGTGAGGAAGCAAAAAGCAAAAAATGCAGAGGACCGAAAAACAGTGCAACAGCAGCAAAAGTGGCATTAATGAAGCTGAAAATGCATGCGTGTGGGGACAAGTCCTTGCCTCAGGTCAGTAATGTTTGTTTTCAGTAGTAGAATTCTCAAAGGAAATGGAAAGAAAGTTTTGTAAATATCTTGATTTTCATCTAGTTCTCTCAGCTTGGTTTTGGATTTAATTCCTCAAGACCACAACCATTTATATGTATGTTTCAGCCTGGTACCCAAAAGCAATCTCACTACTCTTAGATCTGTTATAATGTGTCTCTGGAATTTGGAGTAGTCAGGTCAAATTCCTTTATTTTATAGGAGAAATTTTATTTGTCTGCTACACAGGTGTCATCCAAGACTGCAGAAACAGACAAGTTCATTAATGTTGCAAGAATTTTTATGTGGGGATTCCTGGTACAATGATGACAGCAATCACAATTACTGTTTTCCCACCCAGGCTGAATTTGTTTGTTGGGGCATCACAGTGTACCGTGGGGCCTTAGCATAAGAATGTGCCTTTTAAGTTTGAGTTTGGTAATTTGGAGGGTCAGGAGTGAGTATGCCAACTTAGGTTGGTACCAACATATTTTCAGGAACAGGTTCAGCTATGCACTCAGAATTAGCATCTGAAGATTGAGGGTGGTATAAACAATACCCACAGTTTGATTCATTACCCAGTTGAGAAATTATGTTTGTGAACTGAATTACATGATTATCATCCCGTTCTTGAAATAGTGAGAAAGAGGGTACAAATAAGGGTAAGTATAATACAGTGGGTGTTGTGATAATCTTTTTATAGCTGAGGTTTCCGTAAAACGATGGTTCCTTGGGTGAACTCCAGGTTTGTTCAGGCCAAAGAATCTGTCTAAGTACTGTTCAAGGACCTGAAGTGAAAAGAAATTACTCATTCTTGGGCATTATCCAAGCCTCAGTGAAAGTTAAAGGGAGTCTCCATTTAGAAACAGTTTTCCATATGCCCTTTTCTCAGGGCATATGTGACAGATACTTTAACCATCAAAGGGTATTTAATAGGAACAGTTTCACCCTGAGAAGAATGATGGGCTGACAGTAGGGGGTTTGGATGCATTATGGATTGGAGAGCAGGAAAATGAGCTTGTTCCACCAGGCATCCAGTCTGCTGGTTATGTAGGCATCAAACAGCTTTAGTTAGGGCTTTACCTCATCCTCCTGTATTTAAACTTTGTTCTAGAGCTTATTTTAGTAGACTATTACACTTCTTAACTGTTCCATTACTTTGGGGTCTGTGGGACCCTGGAACACCCAGGCAACCCCACAGTGTTCACACCATTCCTGGATTTATTTTTAAATGAGTGCCATTGTCAGAGTGCACAGCAGAGGGCATGGGAGGGCATTTCCCTAAGCGTGGTATTATTTCAACTCCAGTAAGGATATAACGCCAGCACTCGGGTGTTTGAGGGAGAAGTCTGACATAAGCTATTTACCAAGTGGACCAAGGGACTTACTTTCTATCCCCCCTATCCATTTGGTCCCCAAAAAGGTGACTCCTGGCTGGAGCCTTGGTGTTGTTTCTTCATCAATTGTTTCTTCATCAGTTGTTTCTTCATCAGTTTCAATAGCCCAGTTACTGTTGCCCTGTATCTAGTTCACAGAATATCCACACCAAATATATGTAGGTTTCCTGGTTCCATTTGCTATTTTCAGGGGGGGGTTCATGATATTTTTCTTGGGTGGTTTTTTTTTTTTTTCAGAACTTGTGACACTGTTTTTCAAGAGACACTTTTTCCAGACTCACTATCAGTCTTTAATTTGGTTATACCAATTCTAAATCCTTTGCTGATAATTCACCTTTATATTTCTTCTTTTAACCTTTCAGCATATCTGTTCTCAATTTTCCATACTGCAGCTAATAGCCAGCACATTCCTTCCATCTGTCCTTCTTAACTTTACACATATATTTCCATTTTTTAAAACTCATTCCATATGGCTTTTGGATTGTGGCTTACTGGCTATAGCCACTTGTTGGGATTTTCCCATCTATTTTTTAAACCCCTTTCTCCAGGAGTCCCATTTACTGGGAAAGTCAGTCATCACTCTGACCCAAGGGCTCTGCCAACTACACCAATTTATTCTGTCACCCAACAACGTGGGGACAGACATGTTCTTTCAGGGATCCGTGGCAGAATGATGACAGCACTAAGTTGTTGTTAAATCTCTATTGTTTTAACAGAATTTGTTGATCAAAGTAGCACAGAATTTTTATAATCACAGTGTAGCACAGTTTTTTAACTGGTGTAGTGGATTTTATAGCACAGCTTAGCTTATTGTTCCTAATCACCTGGATCCTCTGCAGACTGGGTCAAGTGTTACTACTTGGTGTGCAGTATCAATATCGCAGTCATCTTCATTGGGGACTGTAGTGATAGGACAAGGGGTAACAGGTTAAAACTTAAACAGGGGAAATTTAGATTGGATATAAAGAAGAAGTTCTTTACTGTTAGGGTGGTGAGGCACTGGAATGGGCTGCTCAGGGAAGTTGTGAATGCTCCATCCCTGGCAGTGTTCAAGGCTAGGGTGGACAGAGCCTTGGGTGACATGGTTTAGTGTGAGGTGTCCCTGCCCATGGCAGGGAGTTTGGAACTAGATGATCTTATTCTATGATTCTATGACTCGAAACATGTAAAAGAATACAAGTCACTTACTCAGTCCTTGGATGAAGCAGACAACAGTGGAAGCGTCCCTGGCCACTGACTGTGGGTTTTTCTGTCCAGCAGCAGTTCTGGTCCAAGTCCCACTTAGGGCTTGTAACTGCTTGATTTATGGACAGTGATCTGTATGCTGCTGCACTTCCCTGTTCTGTGACAGGCTCATCACCACTGGCTTGGCTGGGTGCCTGGGACCTTCAAGGCCAGCAAGGATGGGAGTAGTCGTCCTGGTGCCCAGGGACCTTGAGGCTGAAGGGGACAAAAAGGGGAGAAGTCCGCCTGGTGCGCAGGACCTTCCAGGCTATCAGCAGAGAGGGAGAGGGACTGATACATGACCAGTTTGGTCACAGAGAATTGCTATATAAAATGGCATTAGTTATACCAACGTTATTACCAGAGGGTATCAGTCACAGGGATGCTTTTCATGCTGAGTAATGAGAGGCTTCTGATGCAGATATGACACAGTTTGCACAACTCTATAGCAGTCATATTGGGCCTGTCTCATACACAACTTAGCTTTTGTTCTGCAAAGCTCCATTTTTATTTCTGCTACTTAGATATAATAGGCATATATTGCATTGCTGGATGAAGTATGAAGGGCCTGAGGTTAGTTGTTCCTGCCTTTGGGTTGTAATAGGGTTTTGACAGTTGCTTTCAGCCTTTCATTTCTTTGATTTTCAAAGTTATTTCACATATTCCTTTATTGTTTCTCACTACTGTGGCCAGTCAAACCTGGTATTCAAGTCTTTTCCACATATCAGGATTATGTTGGGTTTAGAAACTCCTTGATTCTTTCATCAAGAGTTTCACTTTAGATCTGTACTTATACATCCTCTTAAAAGAACTGTATTTAAATTGGTTTTCACCATATTGTTATGTTGCAGCACATCACATTCAGGCCCATTAAATTTATTTATAATACTGAGAACATTCTATGTGATAGTGATAGTTTTATTGTTAGGTTTTATCTTAGCAGAGTGCATTTAATTACTGTTTTTAAAATAACTACAGCTACGCCATTATTGAGTCCTCTTATTAACTTCTTTTTTTATACTTTGTTATGCTTAGAAAACTGCTTATGCAGAAGTTGTAATACAAGGATCTGCTTATAGCATTCATCAGATAGCATCACTGTAATAAATATGTGCTGGAGGGAAAGTGATTAATTTAAAATATTGTGGAACATAATTTAAAAAATCCACCCTGAATATATGTAAGATATTTTTAAAAGTGACTTCCTAATTCCAAAGCTAGTAAACTCTAAAAAGTGTAGTACAAATTACTGTATGCTGATTTCTCTTACTATTCATTTTCTCATGTGGATATTAATTGTTTAATCATCCACAATAGTGATAATTCTGACTGAATAATAATTCTGACTGAATAATTGAGCCTATTAATCTCCAGCACCCTCTATTTAAATTGCTAGACTCCTCCTAGCTGCCTTCTGACTACCTTGTTCTAGTTCGATAAGATTTTTTTGAATATGAATTTTCTGGAATGCCTCTTATGCACATCACTTCTCTCATCATGATTATAAAGAAGATTGACACATTTTCTTGGAGGTGCACAGGAAAAGGACAGGGGGCAATGGGAACAAGCTGCAACATGGGAAATTCCAATTAGATGATAGGAAGAAAAATCACAGTGAGGCTGGTCAGACTTTGGAACAAGCTCCTCTGAAAATTTGTGGAATCTCCTTCTCTGGGATGTTCAGAACTTCTTTGAATCTGACTTGGATCAACCTGATCTACCTTTACAGTTAGGTCTAGCTTTAAACTTCCCCCTGCTTTGAGCATGGTTTTGGACCACATGACACCAGAGGTCCTCCTTCCTGACCTTTCTTATTCCACGATCAGGAAAATCAGGCTATCTTAGAAATACCTTTCCCTTGGCTTCTTTATTCAGATTAGCTTTCTGCAGATGATTGTTTCTTTTAGTGTCAGACCTGATACGAGTTACAGACCTGACTAGCTCAAAACAGGAGGGCTATGCTGCAAAGTAGCATTAGTTGTTGGGTCCCTGCCCTACTGGTATTTTCTTGGATATGGCACAGAAATTCCAGGAGGTATATCCCATAAGTAGGGGTGCAACAGTAGAATGAGCTGGTTTGTGAGTTAAGTTCCAGTGGACTGGAGGAGCAACTGTAGGAAGTGTGGGGCACTGATAGCAGTTGGGTGATGTTGGCATGTGTCCGTAATAGAATGGCCGCTGTGTTAGCTGGTTTACAAACTGCCATTTACATTTTGGCAAGATACAGGTCCTGCTTCCGTTGCCCCTTTGTAATATTCCTAGATGTTAAAGATTTTCTTGTGTGTGGAGAGCATTCAAGTTTTGAGAAAAATGCACAGATTGAAAAGCAACCTGAGCTTTATGAACACAGCTGGGGAAAACGTAGTTCTGTATTTTTCTAGGGAGGGTCTATGTAAATCATTTAAAAAGAAGACATCTGTCTTGTTTGATCATGTCTTGACTTGGGCTCAGCAAAAGCTGTTTTAACTGGTGAATACATCAGTCATGCTTGTGCTGTGTCTTCTGTTGAGTGTCAAGAAGAAATAACGTTGGAGAAGGGATTGTCCCGATCCCCTTCAAAACCTTTTCCTCACAGGTTACTTTTATTTTGGTCTATCTGATACTGAAAAAGTGTTTAGCACATAAAAGGTGGAAAAATGGGATGAAGGATTAGCTGGCCATGACTGGGAGTGTTGGTTTGTGAAACTGGCATTTCTGGTACAGTGAATTGTTCGGTTTTAACCGCCTTTGCATTCCAATTTGACAGCACTGCTTATTTATATCCACCTTCTTCTCCCCAGAGTAGTTATTATTATCCAGCAAACCCAGGGCAGACACCTTTTCATGTCTCTCTATATGTAGCAGTCTAGCTGTGGGACTCTGGCTCAAGATGTCTCCCTGAACTTCTCCCAGATGTCTCTCTGAACTTCTTGTCCATCATGCATGTGCCTGCAGCTGGAGGGGATTTGACTTGATGATCTCAGTCATTTATATTCTGCAGGAAACTGGGGCCTTGGTTTTGATGGAATAGTACAAGTTTGAGTTAGTAATTTGGGGGTTGAAATTTAAAGATTTGTTTTTTTTTACTGAAAAATTGTTAATGTGTATGACTGGTATTATGTGCTGCTTCTGTGAATAATTTTTTGTTTTTTTTTCATGTTTTTCTAGACAGAAAGAATTTATTTTCAAGTATTTTTGCCAAAGGGAAACAAAGAGAAAAGCAAGCCCATGTTCTTCTGCAGTAAGTGGAGTATTGGCAAAGTAGTAGATTTTGCAGCTTCCTTAACAAGCCTTAAAAATGACAACAACAAACCAACATCCCAGGTAAATCAGTAATAATAACAAACTTTTTCCAGGTTGTTGGATTTTGATTTTGTTTTGGTGGTTTTTTTTAACCACTTAGTCCCTCCCCCACCCTACTCCTTGCATCTCAAACAGGTAAATCCTGATGTTAATTTCTGTGCTGTTTGTTTTGCAGAAATTGAGATTATGCCATGCTGCCTCTGGAGAAGCCTTGCCATTTGAGCACACATTGGAAACATGGCTATCTGATAAAGACTATCCATTGTACAATGGCGGAAATATAATTTTGGAGTATCTTAATAATGATGTTCTATCTATAGAAGATACAGAGTCATACTTTAGTTAATCAGTAAATTATCACAAACAAAGATTTTTTAGTTTTTATTTTTTTTAGAAATGTGGTATTTAACAAAACCAAGTCCAGTTTTATTCTAAAGTCACTGGTGTGCCAGGGTCTGTCCTCAGTTGTAAAGACAGACTTCCCATCAATTTCTCAATTTTTTGACTGTCACAAGAGCTATGTCCTGAAAGGAAAATTAGTTATATTATTAACTAATATCACAAATACTCACTTTCTATAATAAATTCTTGCTTTATTTAGCTGTATCATGTCAATATTTTTTCTTAAATTTTATATTTTATGTAAATTATGGGAAAAGTATGTATTAAAATTGATAAATAATGAAAATGTAAACTTGCAGTATATCAGTTCTCTGAAGGAAAGAAACACACTACACTATTGCAGCATCTTTTCTGTATTTCATTGAGTTTGGCATCCAGCACTGTCCATGCCCCTAGTCCATGTTTTCATCTCGTAATAGTGTAACAACATTAGAAGGAAAGCTTTTTGAAATGAAAGTAAATTCACACAGATGTCTGTCTTCTGTTTGTAAATCTCAGCATTATTTTGTGATTAGAAGGAGGATAAGAAAAGAGAACCTGAAATTATCCTTTTCTTATTCTTGTGTAGAAGAGGAAGAAATATGGTAAGAGAGGAAGAAATACAGCTCAGCTAGAAGCACAGCATTCCACAGCTTGCATTTTCATCCTGGCATTTCCAACCTTACATAAATCCATATTGTTTTCTCTTCAGCAGTCTGGAGTATTGACTTACTAAGGTGTAAGGCTGTTGTTTACAGTGATTGTACGTTAAGTTACACCTCTGGGTGCATAAGTATAGAATTAGTGGATTTCTCAATTGTCAGTGTCTTGAAGGTGTTTGGTGCTAATGAAGAAGATTGTTCAGAATATCACTAGTTGATGTGCTCCAGTTTTTGGATGTTGTGGTAGATTTCAAAGGTGGACTGTAAATTCAAAGCAAATGTAACAAAGACGATCCATAAGATTACTTTTACAGCTGTTTCAAATTACTGCAACATAAACTTGCAATGTTGCATGCGGTTTTACAGCCAGCACTTTCCTAACCATAAGTTCTGATGTATGACCAAGGAGCTTTACTTCATCCTTCTTGAGTGGACCTCTTACAACCTAAACTCATTCTGCAGTGGCCTTGACCCTCTAAGCTAGAGGAGCAGAACCCTTTCAAAACTGATCCCTCTAATTTTCTTTAATCTGTTTACAATTTTTTAGCCAATGTTCTTCATTTGGGAGGAGCTGAAAAGACAATCCTACAGTGACAGAAAGGACAGTGTATGAACAGGTGTAAACAGCAGTGGAAAGCACAAGCCTAAACTCCATTTAAAAAGCAGTATACATTTCTACTGCTCTGTGGTGTTCTTCACTATGAGTGAATTACTGAGGCAAACCTCATTATCAGATACTAAATAGGTTAACAAGATTTTCAGCTGGAATAAGGTGCAGCATGTAAGGTATGATCTAGTGGATTCTGAATTGGGTGCAGTATTCAAAGTGAGAGAAGTCTCTGCCTCCCCCAGCCTGTCTCACTGCTTGATCAGTGTGACTCACCTTTCAAAGCATTTTAAAAGAGAAAGCTACCTTTCTTTTTCAGACATGGACCGCTTTCTTTCAGGCAATGATCTTCATGTGCTGTTCTCGTATTTGCAAAGATGTTTGGCCTGTGTGTGCACTGTGACTAGCATACTCAGTTAGTGCCTGGAGGTGTAACTGGGCCGCAGGGAGACTGAATGAATATTGTTCAAAAATGTCAGTATGATACATTTCAGGAATATTGTTCTGCTACTGCAGGAAGAAACTCTAAGGAGAGTACAGGAGGCATAAGACTAAGCAATATTGCTAGTCCTGTGGAAACGAAATTTTGCTTTGAAGAACATGAGGCAGAGAAGTGTACTCAGAGCAACAAGTGGAGGTGAACACTGCACCACAGTCTGTTGGGCAGTCACCAATCTGGATCTGGTGTTTTGGCTCATTTGGTTATCGTGTTCACTGAGAAAAATGGTCCTGGTTTTTCCCTAGTACATGCTTGCCTAAAAGGAACATTGTCTACTGTGTTACTGTGTACCTAGATTCTGGTTCATTTGTACTGGTTTGAAAACAGCCATGCATGATGTACCCATTCTAGGCACAGCTGCAATAAAAAGACACATCGCAATGTAGGAAGAGTCTGCTTAGCATCTTTTTCAAAGGTACAGTCCATTGGCAGAACAAAAAAAGCATCATGGATTTCAATACTATCATGTAGTATACATTTGTAACAACTTAGGAGTACTGTACGATTATTATTATTATATATGTATTATTATATATTGATTGAAGTTGCATAAACCTCCCAAACATCTCAATAAGCATTTCGCTGTTAATTGTCTTCTTTTTATTTACAGTACTCTTTACTGTAGGTGTAATATGACCTAGATACTGATAAATTGTTTTACTGGATATGGTGTGGGTGTCACACAAAGGAGAGTGCTTCTGGTTTCCATGAGGGAAAGGGTCTTCAGTGGCTAAATATTTTGTGAGTCAGTTACATGGAAGCAGGAAGCACACATGCATTTCTCCACTTTCCCCCACCTATCCCTCCAGCCGCTTGTCATCTCCCTTTCCAGCGCAATAGGAACAGTTCCCTTTTCCCTTGTTATTTTTTTTTCCTCCCTTTCCTCTGCAATTCTCTAGTCATCTTTCTTTCTTAAGCTGCTCTGGTAAGGAATATGCATTAAGAGGCCAATCATTGTGGCACAACTAAGTTAGGGAAGAGCCTCAAGCTGAACTTGTTCCTGCTGCTGTTGTTACAGAACCAACAATACTTAGTGTAGCAACGTCTGCTGCTACAGAACAGGGTAATTTTTTCAGCATAAACGTCTTTTTCTCTATTTACCCCTTCCTTCTGCCCCTGACTTTTCTGCCCTAGCAGTTACAGGCAAAATTATTAAAATAACATTGTGGATAGAGGGAAGATAAAACTTGGGATGCAAGAAGTAAATCTTTGGGGAGATCTCAAAGGTTTTACCAGGAAGGTTGCTTTCATCACTTGCCAGTTATTGCTAAGGGCTAGCAGCCCGTAAATAGCAGTACAAATACAGCAAGTCACTGTTGATAAGACTCCAAAAAGTTTTCACATTCATCTTATTCCAGGAATGTGTCTGGGGTTGTATACAGAAACTCATCCCACTTAGTTTTCAGAAACTGAGAACTAAAACTAAATTAAGCTAGTCTGACAGAAAAAATAATTGAGGACAGCTGAAAACTGTCCTAATCATCAACTCGAGGAACAGAAGCAGAAACTTTCCCAGGGCATCAGTATCTTGCCTAGGCTAGAACTGCTCACATTTCAAATGTTTATCCTCTATGATATCTTTACCTAGCATATACAATTTTTTGTTTTTATAAAGCTTGTTATCTTGGCACATTTTCATAGGGGAAATTAAACAACTCAATCTGGAAAAAAAAACAACCAAACCGACAACTCAAAACATTGTGGAGAAGACACCAACATTTGAAACCATTGTTAATTTTACGAGCTTGTGTTTAGAAGTAGCTGAATTATTTAACTTCAAAGTTAATAAATAAGAAGTTAAACTCACTTCTAGTAGATGCAAAGAAAATGTATGCAAAGTTACTTAACTGACAAGTGGAATCTGTAAAAATAAATATTTAGTGATTTTATAATAAACAGTATTTTCATCCAATCTATTAAAATAGGTAAATATCAAGCTGTTTGGTTGTTGTATCTGTATAGCAATTGTAGAGAATGCACAAGGTCAAGACTTTGCAAACATTTTACCACTGAGAATAATCTTGGTAGCAGCTCCTGGTCTTGTTCCAGTTCAAATACTGCTGCAAAATCACTCGGCATTTGTGATATACCCAAATACTGTTTGGAAACAGTTATGTTAGCATCAAGAGCTCAATTTTGCTCAGATAAGTGACCAGTTAAATCAGCCAGGCAATGCTGTAACAAATAAGAAATAATACATCACACTAAAAAAGCAGGCAGCAATCTCTCATACTTTTATTTTCATCAGTTTCCTTTTGTGTGTCTGTTTTAGAAAAGTAGTGTCATCAGTCTGTTCTGAAGACTTTTATCGATAGATCACCTCTGTTCATGTCACTTATCAGGTGTAACATACAAATACAGCTCCTTGCAGCTCAGTTCTCCTCGTAGTAGTTTCTTTCATTAAGTACAAAATTTCCTTTCAGTTGGAATAGAAACTGTGGTTTGGATCAGGAAAGTCTTACACTTTTGAGGAGAGAATTCCAGGCATTTACTACTGATTTTGGGATCAATGCAGAATTTGAAATCCCCTTACAGACCCTGTAAAACCCTTGTTGTAATGTTAAGTGCATTATTAATGTCAAAGAAGCCGTTTTCCATAATACTAGTGCAGTCCCATGTAACTTGTACTGAGAAATATTTGGCATCTTGCCTCAACAAAAGATGAACCAGAGCCAAAATGCCTCTTTCAATTGGCTGTATGCTTTTTGCATAATCTTGTAAAGAATGACTTGCAAAATAATTAATAAAAACACACCTTATCATCTCTGTAGTTCTTTAATGACTGTGAATACTTTAAATAAATAGGCTAATATGACTATTCCTGTTTATGAAATGGGAAGTAGGAAACATGGAAGGGTGCATTGACCTGTCCCACACAACAGCACTGCTGGGGATGGAAACCACATCATCACTGATGTGGAAATACAAAAGTACTGCCATGTGACCTTCAGCAAGTGTCCTACTGTGGGTTGGATTGGCACTGGGGAAGGGGATAAGGCTGCTTTTGGTGAGGTAGATATTTTACGCCAGATTCAAGTCCTAAAGGAAACTACAACCCCTGTCCTGTTTACAGTAGGCCATCGTTTTACATATGACAGTAAATTATATCAGTTGCAATTTGTGAACACAAGACAGCACCTCACTGTTTTACTTGATGAAAGACAACAGGAGACCTTATAGCAGCCTTCCAGGACCTAATGGGGGCCTATAAGAAAGCTGGGATGGACATTTTACAAGAGCATTTAGTGATAGGACATGGGGGAATGGCTTCAAACTGAAAGAGGGGAGATTTATATTAGATATTAGGAAGAAGCTGTTTCCCTGTGAGGGCGGTGAGGCACTGGCACAGCGTCCTGGGTTCAGCAGTAGCAGTCAGGTTTCTCCTGTGCTGTGTTTTGACTTCCAGCCTGGGAACAGTGCTGGTGATACCGATGTTTTCGGTTGTTGCTAAGTGATG